GTTGGAGGTCGTACGACTGTTTAGAGGACGAAGGGTTTCACCACCTGAAGGTGAACCATACAATTCAGTTCAAACACCCTGAAACAGGCGCACACACCAACACCATAGAGGGCACTTGGAGTGCAATAAAAAGATTCGAAATTTTCTAGTAGAATTGCTCATTTTTTCATCTTTCTGTAACTAGTTGATAAGACGCATTGTCCCCAACCGTTTTTTTTGTGTGCACAAAACGTGTCTTTGCACTACTTTTATTTTGTTACTCGGCCGCCATCTTGGTTGACATGGTCCGTGACCTTCTCGTACATTGTACGCCAAAATCGTAAGAGTAAACAGGTCTGGAACTATATTTAAAATAGAATTAAAAAAATACCATAAAATTATAAACATAAATGCATTCTTACTTTCTTCTTCAGCGCTACTACAAAAATTCTTGAAAATGAAGCACATTTCTCCATCGATAACAACGGCTGTAAGATTGCAGACCAACAGGAAGTGTCCGTCATAACCATCACGTGACCAATCGAAACTGTAATATTTAACCTCACGTGACCAGCCGGGTCCGAATAGCTATTAATTGCTATATGTACCCAGTTAGCCACTCTGATTTAGAATAGTCATTCAAAGAATATTAATTTCAATTCTCTCCCTTTAATAAAAAAAAGATGTTTAAACAAATTTTAAGCACTTTGCACAGACATCACAAATTTTTTTGTTGTTTATTTTGTTTTTGGTGGGGTTTTTTTTTTTTTGGGGGGGGGGGTGGAATTAGGTCTGGTTTGTTGAGAGTCTTTGCAAATTAAGCCATGCAATGGCAAGGTAATCTAGATACTTTGCCGAACAATACCACCCATTGATGGCGTACTCGGCTATAACCTATGTTGAAACTGTGTTTCAAAATAATATGTGTTTCAACTTTTTTTGTTTTGTTTTTAGAAATTTAAATTATACTCAGCCTTGTCAGAGACTGCCAACAAAAGTATAAGAGATATTTTTGTGCAACTGTCTGCAATGTAGCATCTAAGTACGCGTGTGCTATATGTGTATAGGCCTACATGAAATGTTTTTAAGTGAAAAAGATGCAGTGCGTCATTATAACTTTCAGGACTGTGGGAAAATAAGCCTGAAGATATTCTAGCCATATTTGAGAAGCTCGAACAGTGCAGTGGCGGCCCCATTCCCCTCAAGTGGGTGTGTCCTTGGCGAAAGCCACCATAAAGGCAGGCAGCAAGACGACCAGGCAGATGATGGAATGGATGTAGATGGAGAGGGCTCAAAGGAAGAAGAGCTGAGGTACCTTATTGAAGTTTGTGAGACTAGATTGGGTGGGTCATCTGGATAGGGTGTGTCATCTGGATAGTTTGGGTCATCAGTATCTGGATAGGGTGGCTCATCTGGATAAGGTGAGTCATCTGTATTGGATAAGGTGAGTCCCCTGGATAGGATAGATCATCTGTATCTGTTAATGGTGGTTCATCTGGATAAGATGAGTTATCTGGATAGGGTGTGTCATCGGCATCTAAATAGGGAGTGTTATCTGGATAGAGCGGATCATCTGGGTAGGGTAAGTCATATGTATCTGTTTATGGTTGGTCATCTGGATAAGGTGGGTCAAATGTATCTGATTTATGTTGGGACATTCATTTTTGGCAGTGAATTCGAATGGGGAAAAAGTTTCCAAGTTCCATTACCACTTTAAGACGCACTTACTTGTTGGCATTGGTAGAATGAGATTGTTGAACTTGTATCAGCTGTCTTAAATGTAAGAAGTTTCCTTTAGAATTATTTGTATCTGCCATATTGTATTTGAGAATAATCTGAAAATGAGGCGTCAACAGTATTGTAAGAAGGGTTTGTAGTGTTCTTAGTTGGGGTTCTTGCAACCAGGAATAGATGTTTTATACTTGCCATCAGGAATGGATGTTTTGTTGTTTAAATTAGGAATGGATGTTTTGTACCTTCCACCAGGAATGGATAATTCGTACCTTCCACCAGGAATGGATGTTTTGTACCTTCCACCAGGAATGGATAATTCGTACCGTCCACCAGGAATGGATGTTTTGTACCTTCCACCAGGAATGGATGTTTTGTACCTTCCACCAGGAATGGATGTTTTGTACCTTCCACCAGGAATGGATATTTTGTTGTTTAAATTAGGAATGGATGTTTTGTACCTTCCACCAGGAATGGATAATTCGTACCTTCCACCAGGAATGGATGTTTTGTACCTTCCACCAGGAATGGATGTTTTGTACCTTCCACCAGGAATGGATGTTTTGTACCTTCCACCAGGAATGGATATTTTGTTGTTTAAATTAGGAATGGATGTTTTGTACCTTCCACCAGGAATGGATAATTCGTACCTTCCACCAGGAATGGATGTTCTGCACCTTCCACCAGGAATGGATGTTCTGTACCTTCCACAAGGAATGAATGCTTTGTACCTTCCACCAGGAATGGATGTTTTCAATGAAAATGCTGACCTTAACTTTACCAAGAGCTGAAGTCACAAGTAGACAATAAGGAAATTAAAACACAGAGAAAGGAACTTGAAATAAAGATGGAGAGAAACAGCAAGAGGTGACACAAGATGGAAAGATAGCCCAAAACAGAGAATAATGGACAATTATTATAAATGGCCTATGTACCACCAGGGGGAGGGTGGGACTATTAAGGCAAAACTCGATCAGCCAGTGGCTTATTATAGAAAGAAGAAGCTGTGAGCGGACGTAATTTGATGCTGAGATTTATTATTGGAGTTGTGACCAAACTGATCATTAGTTTTACTTGATGTTCATTATTTGCCCTTTATTGTACATGATGTCTTTACTTTACTTACTGTTAGTATGTTAGTTATCTACATTCTTGCATGGGATTTTTGTCTTGTAAATAATAAAAAAATTATTGTACAAGAATTTTCTTTTTTACAAGTATATTTTCTTTAAAATGTAGCAAATGCAACACCTCTAAATAACCTTTTGGCTGATGACAAATATAATCAGTTGTAATTTTATCCTCTGTGTCGTATTTGTTACACAACAGAAGAGCCTGATCTTTGTCTAAAACTCAACAAAAGCCCACTTACCCAAATTTGGGGGAAAAAAAAATCCAAGCTCAAATCAAATTTCAGTTGTCAAATCTGCACTGGTTTGACATATTTGTACTGAAATTGTAATAGTTTTAGTCAATAACATCCCCCCCCCCCCAAAACACGTCCATTTTAAGATTCATTATAGAAATAAACAGCACACTTGGCAAGAGGTCATTTGACATTTGAATTTTTATTCCTTGTGTTGAACACAATAAAAAGAATATTAAAGATGGTTGGCTGAAATGTAAAGCAATGTCAATATGCAAATTGAACTACATAGTATAAGTATTATTAGTTGTATAAAACATTGCGCAAAAAAAAATTAAAAAATTAATACATTTTGTACATGAAGAGAGCACAAAGCAAAGAGATACAACATTTAGCCATTGAAAAAAATTTGCAATAATAAATGACATCCAACATTTGTGCCACTGCCGACATCATGCACATCCAATCAAGTATTAGTTCAAATGGTCCTATATGTTTTGACAATTGCACACACACAAAATATGTCTATCAAAACCCATACTAGGTATTTTCTTGTTTGATATTGAGAGGAAAAAAAAAAGAGACCTATAACTATAATAGTATAAAAACCCTGAAACTGACCAATCCAATTAAGATGATTAGATTAAGGTTTCTCTTAATCATAATCAACAATACACAGAAAAGATGGGGGGAATAGGGAGTAAGAAGATCCATGACATTGTGAGTCTGACATGAAACCAAAACTAAAATTAAATAAAATGTGATGCTTCTTTCTATCTGGCATCTGGAGGATGCAACTCATCACACTAATGGACTCAAAAAAGGTTGTTTACATTTTATCAAAATTGAAAAAAATATATATATGTACGTTCTCTTTAACTTTAAGGTTACAGTTAGGCTTTAACCCAAATGACAAAAATTAAGCATTATCATAGTCTAACGACTGATTTTATGAGGGGGCAATTATAATGTAAAAAAATTTCCAAACAGTCCTGGCTGAGTTAAAAAGCTATAAATCTTTTATATTAAATATGCAAAATGATAAATTTACCAAAACTACCAAACTGTACCAAAACCAAAATTATAAATACTACCAAAAATGAATTTTAAAAATGATTATCTCTAGAAAAAAACTATGAAACAAAAATAAAATTAATGGTGTTTAAATTTTTTTTAATTACAATTTTTTAAAATAAATACTTTAAGAGCAGTGTAGGAAATGATGTAAAATTTAAATTGTATCTTTGAGTGAGTGAAGCACAGCTAGTATAAGGACCAATCACTTATTCACTTAAGAAGATACTAGTCAGTCTCATGATTAGAAAAGCTAAGAGCCTTAGTAAAGGATGAATATATCTAAGATACAAAATAGAAATTCTCATTTATACTTTTAAACTGTCTTAATAATAATTATGTAGTCACTCAAATTCTTGTCACATTCTTACAAATTATTAATTTATTCTAAATAAGTGGGACTGGATGAATTTTTTGAAAAATGAATATCTTTAACGGTAATTTTACAAAAAAATTTCTGAAATTATGAAATTTATATTTTCAATTGTGTGTCTATCAAGAGATTAACTGATGAGTATAAGCGAGGCGTAAACTAAAACTAAAAGAGGCTTTAGTATAGGGACAATAAAATATTTCAAAAATTCTTTTACAAGTGTAATGTAACTAAACTCATGATATAATTCAATTAATAATATAATTGCTAAATTGATAATACTAATACAAAACTATATTGATGATACAACAATAATGGCAAACATTGATAAACATTTTCTAATTTAAGCTTTTTACATCTGCTTTAGAAGTAACTGAAAGTTGTGAGCTATTCAAATTAACTCCCTTTGAATGGTTTTAGCAAATAAACATAATAATTTTCTGAGATGACATCTTGACACAACTCAGAGAGATGGGGGGGGGGGGGAGGCCCTCGCACCGGACACATTGAAACCTTTTAAGAAACGAGTTAAATCCTAAACATTTAACTTAAATGGACAAAAGTTGATCATAAATGACCACAATAGGAAACAAATTTGGGAGCTCTGGGTTACAACAGTTGTCAACATAGCACCACAGATCACAGCTTCTTGGTACCTTTGATTTACTTAGTCATTTCAATTTGGTCCATCTAAAAAAAGGCATATATAATATAGTATATATATTTCTTAAACTTTAAAATGAAGATACAATTGCTTTTAAGACACCTCTAAAAAAAAACCTGAGGTGAATAAAATCTAATATAGAAGTAATAAACTTTACTGTATGTAATGAAGGAATATTTGCAGTATTTTCCCAGGTGAAAGGAAAATTGACAGAAATTAGGTAGTACAAAAACTTTTAAAAAAAAAATCTATAAACAACACAGAAGAAAATTTAGAACTAAAATACAACACATTTAATATTTTTAAAAGTGAAAATATTTTAAGTCATACGTGTATGTAATGTGTACAAAATAGTGGAAAATATACACAGAGTGTCAGAATCAATCAGTCCTCAAATAAACATTCAAAAAAGTATACAACAAAATAGAATGAAGGTAGGGAAGGGGGGGTTGTGTGTAAGGAAGGTGTGGAGGGATGTAGTAAGGAAATGTACAACTTTTAGTTATATCTACATCATACATCTTTCCAAGGGAGAGAAACTTCATCCCACATATTTTGTCACTGGCAGAAATTGGAGAACCAACGTTCATAATTATAAAGGTCAATTAACAAGTCAAGCATCAACATTCAACATTGGGGGAGGAGGGGGAGGGAGGAAAGAACCACATCATACATCTTTTCAAGGGCGATTACTATATCATACATCTTCAAATGAGGAAAGGGGATGATAGAACATGGCAGGGGATGATAGAACATGGCACGCCTCTATAAAGGTGACATAAACACATTCAATGAGGAAGGGGAGTAAAAAAGAAAATCAACTCAAGTGAAAACCAGCAACAAATAGAAAAGATCAGTGTTTGGAGAAAAAAAAAAAGAAAAGAGAATTCATTAATGATACAAAAATAAAAATGTCTCTCTATATGGCAGGGCAACCAATAAACAAAGAATCACAGAAATAAGAAAACAACAGTTGGGATGGGCTGCTTGCAGGAACAGCCCATTGGTAAAAACACGGCTTGTTTTAACACTATCTTAAGCAGATCTTCTGTTCTGAGCATTGAAGATGAGTTGAACACAGACTAGTTGCGTACAGCATTTGACAAAATTATTTTTGTTAGCATTTTAACTAGACTCAGATTATTCAAATCTATTTTATTTTAAATTAAAAATATGCTTTGGCCCTAACAGGCATGGATGGAGTAAGTCTTTTTTAAATTTTTATGAAAAATACTTTAAAGTAGGGAAAATAAATTAAGTTTTTAAAATAATTCTACATAAGCTTCAGTCAAGTTTGTACATGAATGAAGCTGGTAGGGAAAGATTAAACACAATTTACCACATGAGCAAATCTTATTCTAAATATGAGCAACTCAACATGTTTTGATAAATGTGCAAAGGAATAATTTATTTTTTTTAAAGGTTATTTTAACAAAAAATTTGTATTGTTAAAAAGAAGAGTTAGAAAGTTCCAGTTACGCTATTAAAACAAGAGACATTTCTAAATATTTTGTTCAATATTTGTGTCTAGCTTTTAACAATTTTGTTGTAAACAAATAGAGTAAACTTTCGAGAAAATATTTTTTTTTTTGGTTTCTGGACAAGTCCAAGGTAATCAAATCCTGGGAAACGATCGACAAGTATTTGGCAACTGATTTTCTACTAAGATCTTTTCAGATGAAATGAGCCTGAAATACCTTCAAGGTGTGCCTTAAGGTGGTTCATAAGACATACCTTCAATATGAGCCTTAAGGTGGTTCACTTGACATATCAAGGTGTACCGTAAGGTGGTTCACATGACATACCTTCAATATGCATCTTAAGGTGGCTCATTTGACATAACTCAAGGAGTGCCTTAAGGTGGTTCAAATAACATACCTTCAAGGTGTGCCTTAAGGTGGCTTAAATAACATACCTTCAAGGTGTGCCTTAAGGTGCCTCAAATAACATACCTTCAAGGTGTGGCTGTACTAACCATAAGGTGGTTCAAAGAAGAGTATATTTTGTATAAATATATGCAGCATTACATGTAAATTAAGTCAATATTATATGCACAGTGAAGCGACTACTGATGAATAGTGATATGGATGAATACGTGCAAGCATTTAAGGATGAACAAAGTAAATATTTCTATCATTTGTTACATCTCTTTCACTCATTTTAATTAGGGATTTTTTACATGAAAAAATATGAAGCTAGTCAAGATAGAACTTAAGACAATTTATATTCAACATATTAGCTATGACAGAACTTAATATTCAACAAATTGGCTGTGAAATAAACAGAGTTAACAAGTATTATATGCTCTTTGTTTATCCATCTTAAATTTTTAAATGTGACCTCCTTGCAATAATATCAGAAATATTGAATAATTTGAATCAAAGGTCTTTATTCACACAACTAATTCAATGGAAATAGCCATGCCTTAAATCAATTCATTCTATGTCTCATCAAATGGATCTAAGTTTATTTAATTAGGTCTATGAGAGATAAGAAGAGAGAAAGTAGGGGGGCCTTCAAGGATTATGGCAACAGAGGGTTCAACCCATTTCTTATAAGTAACAACGAATGAGAATTCTTCGGTCATTTACAAAAGCACCTGCTTTCTCTCTTCTTTTGGTACTTTCAGTTCTTGCTTTATATTTTAACTTCTTTCTAATAAGATTGGAGAACAGGAATGACCAAAATTTATGTTAGGGAAAATCAAATATTGCTCTGGATAGCTCAAATTTCCAATTAATTGGCAGTCTGACAAGTCTAGACCAATCCATTTGAGTGTGTGTGTATGTATGTATGTGTGTATCTATATATACTACATATACTATATCATTTTTTATATAAATGTATTGAAAGAACTTCTAATTAATCTGATAATTTGCTGCGCCCAGCAGTTAGTGGTGCTGCAAAATGGTACAATTATTATTTTGACCCGATTTTCACAATAAACAGTTTACCGTGACTATGCACATCATTATTTTCTCCATCTATAAAAATTTCAGCACAATAGGAAAATGCAAACAAAGTGATGCATGCTTGAAAGTGATCATTTAGCGGGGCAGAATTCTCATCACCCTGGTTAAAATCTGCACAATGAATTTCACAGTACTGAAACTTGAATAGTTACATTTTAAATACTTTTGTTGATCACATTTTTTTTTTCAAACTGTAACAAATCCATAGCTATAATACAGAATCAAAAAATAAGCAGAAAAAGCTAATTTTGCCCTACTAAGGAAGCTCCTGCGGCAAACTGTATGTAAAGCTTGCTTTTTTGTTCCATATATTAAATACTTAACAGGAAATCACTAATCCACATGTTAGATTGCATTACAACACGGCTTCAATGTAGAGTAGCTTTATGTAGGTCCTACATTGTTTGATGGGTCCTTCACAGAGACAGGAATTAAGTAAGCAGTCCTGCCATGTCCCACCACAGGAGACAGGAATTAATGAAATAGATAGATGCACACATCACAACAGCATAGCCAGTGGACATTGAATGTTTGGAATAACTGGAAATAATTCAATGGTATGATTATTTATGTAATGGTTAGCTTTTCATAGTTGATTCTTGTCCAACAGAGACTCTTGAACAGACCATATACTTCCACTAATTCCTTGTTCATACAGTCTATTTACTAGAGCACTCTCTTTAATTATAAGGTAACAAATGATACATTGCCATACATCTGATTGATAACCTTAGCTTTCTGAAGATGAGGCAGTGAATACATATTTACTACCATACTGAGATTTTTTAAAAACAATATACTATCATTTTAGCCAAAATTTAAAGAAGTAGCAGCTGGAACTCGAAAAAGTCACCCTGTCTGGAAACTTGAGTCTTACAGCCACAGACTATCGCCATGGATATAATAGTTTTTCAGTGCACCACCATATCACTAAGAAACTCCAAGTTATAAATTAGGTATCCATATCTATACAAGTGTCGAAAACTTTTAATAGAACCATTTATGGCATTGTCAAGGTTTATAATTTTTTTCCCCTCCTCATCCGAAAAAAAAGATATGTACAGCAGACCTTCAAAAGTCAGCAGATATTCATCTGAGCCAATGGGTTTCAATCGCTAGATACTCTGTAAAAGAGACAGAAACAAACATTATTTTTAGAAGCTAATAAGAAAAATGAATGACTATTGTGATAAAGACTAACTTAGTGCATACTAACAAAGCTTGTTGGGCCTTTATGGATGTACTTGTGTATACCTGTTAAATAAATCTAGTCAAACTGCCCTTTTCACAGCATTTGAAATTGACACTATTCAAGAACCTCCTTAAACATTTATTTAAACCAATAAATTTGATATTTCTTTTCAGTTGAAACCAAGTTCTTATTCTTTATAAGCTTACTTACTATTACAAACTAGCTATTGGTAAGAAATTTGAAGAGAGATTTTTAAATCACTATGCAAATGATAGAAATCAATTTTAACTACAGAATGAAACATCACTTGACAGCTGGATATGATAAAGCTTTAAAGCAAAATATTTAATTTGAGATATTTAAGCTGAGCTGTTTAATTTCCAATTCAAAACCTAACCTCTCCAACCAATACAGCCTAAAATGCTGGGAAGAAATCAAATGAAAGCAAAGGAGTTTTAAATTAAGAACCAAGATAGATATAGGAATCTATTGCATTAAAGCAAGCACATAATTTAATTAGCAGGGTATATGAAATGAACAAAACCAAATTAGTTGAACCAATGAAGAAATTCTACTCACATGAATCACTCATTCCTTGTTCCTAACGCCTATCTGCACAGTTTCTTGGAAAATGAGTTCTTTGAGCCTCTCTTTGGGCAAGTCATCCAGCTCCATCTCAAATGTGAAGGGCTCTTCTGCAACAGGCTAAATGGAAAGATTGATAAAATTCTTTTAACAGAGAGAGAGAGAGGGGTTGGGGGGAATAGATAGTTTGGTTAGTGAGAAAATATTACCACAGCACTTAAGAAGCTCGAAGCCATTTAAATGAAAGACTACATAGTAAAAAGATTTTCATCCAGTTTTTTTTTTAACCTGGGTACAAAAATTTAAACAATACTGAACATAGACAAAATTGTTGTTGTTGTTCGTCCATCGAAGTTGACAAGGACCATCGAATCATCTGGTTAGGGGCGGGGGAGGGGGGGTTGGGATTACGGTGAGCTCTTAGGTGGCTTGTTAGACCGATCCTTGCTCGGAATAATCTATGACACCGTGGGCATGGAATAGTTGCTTCAGGCGATGACCTAATGTTGCTCTTTCGGACAAGCCTGCGTGTCTCAGCTGTGGTTATTCTCTTAGCTTCATGGGATTTAGCCCCCTTCTTGACAGCAGCTCTCCATCTGGCTCTGTCCTGGGCTGTCTGCACCCATTGAGTAGTGTTTATGCTGAAGGCCTTTAGTGCCACTTTCAGTGAGTCTTTGAAACGCTTTCTTTGGCCTCCTTGGGAGCGCTTGCCTATCGTGAGTTCTCCAAAGAATATTTGTTTCGGGAGCCGGTGGTCTGCCATACGGGCTACGTGTCCCATCCAACGGAGCTGAGACTGCATCAGAGTGGTGAAGATACTAGGTAGGTTCGCTCTAGCGAGGACCTCGGTGTCGGGGACTTTGTCTTGCCACCTGATGTCGAGGAGTTTCCTGAGGCAGGTAGTGTGAAAATGATTCAGTTTCTTGGCGTGACGCTGGTAGACAGTCCACGTTTCACATCCATAGAGCAGTGTCAGGAGGACTGCTGCGCTATAGACCTTGAGCTTTGTTTCTCGACTGATACCTCTCCTGTCTCAAACAGTGCTGCGGAGCCTGCCAAAAAGGGCACTAGCTTTTGCGAGTCTGCCATTCATTTCATCACCCATGACGACAGATCTAGAGAGGGTGCTGCCCAAGTAAGTAAATTTATCCACCGGGTTGAGACGCTGTCCACTGATCATGATTTTGAGTTCAACGTAGGACTTACTGGGAGCTGGCTGATACATCACCTCAGTCTTCCTTGTGTTGATTGTGAGGCCAAAGTTATTGTATAAAGCTATTAATAACATAATGGTCATTGATTGGTTGTTTACCTCATCAGCTGGGTCGTAGTACTGCTCCAGATAGGGATGTGCTAGCGCCTGTTCTACCGTTATCCTCTTGTTGGGATTGAATGTTAACATTTTCTCTAAAAGATCAAGTGCTAATGAAGAAGAAGAAAAAATCATTAAAATTAAGACATTTTTTTAGTTCTTGGTAAAAAAAAATAAAGTACGGTAGTCCAATTTAACAATTTTTTTAACCTGTTTTAGCTTTAAGAAATTATTTCAAATGGATCTTTGCAAAAATTATGTACCATTCAAGGCTGTGAAAAGAAGTAAAGTACATTAACAAATCTTAACCTTAGTAAACCTTAAAACAAACCTGGACTTACCTTTAGCATCTGCATTTGGAAACAATTTCTGCCATGGTACTTTAGGCTTGTATGGTAAGGACTGGATGTAGCCTCTAGCCTGTTTGAACAAGAAGAAACTTTGAATAATGGACTGTTTTGAAAGAAATTTATTTTCAACAGAGGACATTAGAGACCAAAACTAAAACAAATATATTGTTGATTATATACATTTCAATTTAAGGATAATTGTATTCAAATATTATACTTTCCTATTACAGCTGTTCTCAGACTTTGGTAGAAAGAAAGAAAAAAAAAAAAAGAGACTGTGCTAATTAAATTTGTTAAACCTTATTTAAAAACTGAAAACAAATTTGATCTCAGTGCTACATGATCTAACAGAGAAATATTTCAAATGTGTTAATTTGAAGAGAACAAAATGGCTACAGCAGAGGTGATGGCTAATTATTTCTTTGCCATTTCAATGTTAGAATGCATGGACCTGGGGTGGAGTAATGTTTAAGTTACTGACTGTTCACATATTATATACATTTACCAACCATATAAATTTACAAGGCAGCAACATATGTGTAAATACATGTGGTATGTGTAATGTAACCCATCTAAGAGAATACAGTCTATGTTATAGGCCATGAATTGACCTTGTCATTGATGATACACTGCAAATCATCCTGGCTGGGAGATCCTAAGACACCAAGTATGTGGTTCAACTGATCAAGATCTTAGGTACACAGTCAAGGAATATTCACGATGGGACATTCGTTTATTGCTGGTTTACACAAATTAACTGATTAAATTGTAACTGTTTCTATCAGGCCGCCTACTACCCGAGTGGAAAAAAAAGGCCGAAGAATACAAAATTTAGTTTATAAGTTGAGTTGCTAATAAAAATATAAAAACCCCATTGAACTACTGACATTGCATTTTGTTGAATATCAGCCTTCATCGGAATGGTCATGGGCACCGTGATGTGTGCACAACCTGACAATTGTAGAAACTGAGATAAGACTACAGTGGTTTACGTCAGATGTGATAGGTGTATGCAGGTGTGCAAAACACAAAATGTGTTGATAATGTCATAATACTAAAATAGTTTCTATTAGTTTAAGTCCCTTAATGCTATACAGGTCAGTGACTGGCCCAATTTACAATTGGGTGATCACTACCCCGATGGCCTAATGACTAATGGGTTACAACCCATAAGGTCCATCTCATGCAGATAATGAAGACTAAAAGTTCAACAAAAAAAAAGTTTGGGTTTGATCAAACCTAAATAAAAAAATTAAACCAACATTTTATGGGTAAACCTAGAAGACATAAATAATTTAATTATTTAAGTAAACAGAAAGAAGAAGAAAAAAAGGGCATTTGCGTTAATCAAATCAAGGATACAGTGTTTTCCTGGGAACAATGGACGATTGGCCAACATCTCAGCTAGAATGCACCCAACAGACCAAACATCAACTGGAATCTAGTTAAGGAACTTAAGTTGTTTGTAATAAAATGCCTGACAAATGATACAAATTTGTGTAGCTAAATTTATGTATAATTATGAACATTATTTAAAACTCTTAGACATAATTTTTAAATCAATGATGTAATAGAAGGAATATTTAACAGAAATTTCAATTATATGAAAAAAAATGTTATCAATTTATATGCCACTCTAATATTCAGTTAACAAAACTTTAAAAGTACTTCCTTGCCTTCATGCAAACAACTACAAGAGAAAAAAAATGTTACATAGTCAAAATTATTATATATAAAAAAATTACAATATAATATAACACTGTTTTATCATATCCAAAATAACAGTAACCCCCACAGCAATGTGGTTGTGCTTGTTGGTTTCAAGTAAAGGATTCTTGATTTGGTGTAACCCTTGGAATTGAGCATAATCTCAGGTGCCCGGTACCACCTGGTGGCAACGTACTCTGTCAAAAAACCAGTATGGTCATGGTCTGGGTCAGCTACTCTAGCCAGACCGAAATCACAGATCTGAAAACGGGAACATGTTTCAATCACAAAATGAAACAAACACTAACAGTAATTCAATGCAGTTAATATGTTTGCAATCTATTCAACTTTAAAAGAGGTTATTAGACTGAATTTGATAAGAGTACTCAATGTCTTTATGCAATTACAGTTTTAATATTATTTAAGACTAATGTTTGAACTACTGTTTTCTTGCTACAAAAAATCATGAAAAAAATTACCAAAAGCTGGAAGAGTAACCAAGTTCACAATGATAAAATCTTTACACATCACCACAGAAAAACCAGATTACCTTGAGATCACAAGTCGTGTTGAGAAGAAGGTTACTTGGTTTCAAGTCCCGGTGCAGGACATTGGCTGAATGAATGTATTTAAGCCCTCTAAGAATCTGGTACAGGAAATAGCAGACATGGTCATTGCTTAGCTGCTGTGTCTTCAAAAGTTTGTACATGTCTGTCTCCATTAGGCATTGCACTATATAACTGAGCTCAAGGTCAAGGATTGATGGAACAAAAGCGCACTTAGAATTTAAATGTAATGAACTCGACACATCTATAGAGGACATTAGCGACAATATATGTTTACAATTATTACATGTCCTTAAGTAGGCAAACCATTTTAGTTTGGAAACTAGAGCGATTTTTAAAAAAAAATGCAAACTTTCAAAGAGCAAGTTATAATAAAATTATATAACAACCTATTTACAAATACAGATTAGATATACTTCTAAGAGCGCTAGCAATGGAGCAAACTGATAAAACTTGGTAAAGCTTAAGGATACACATCTTTCATTTCTTCAACCGTCGGAGCCCTTAAAATGTCTCGGATGTCAATAATCTGAAATAAACAAATACAAAATAACTTAATTTTTAAATTTTTAAATCAAATAGAAATATAATTAAAACACTATTTGAAAAAAAAATATTTAAATGTCACTATTTTAAATAAAAAACGGCTTTAAACAAACACTTAAGTAAATGGACCTGTAATTTGAAAAATTAAAAAAGCCATTGCTAAAAAAAATATATAATATTTTAGTAATAAAACACTTCATTTAATAACTTACTAAATGCAGACTAGTTTTATGCACAGAAATAACATGGAAACAAACTGACCTTTCATTTACTCTTAGAAAAAACATTCATTTCCTTATGAGACGATCAAAATACATAATTCTCTAGGTAATATTACAATTCTACTAATGTCACTAATGCTTTCACGAAATAAAATTCCAGAAATGAGATTCTTAAAAGTACGGCAAAAATTCCAGAAATAAGATTCTTATAATAAGTTATAAGAACAGCAATTTCGTTTGGTGCATAATATCCACTTGCGTTTTACGGAAATAATGTCAATTTAAACATGGTGTTATAAATCTGAGGTGTAAAAAGGGTGTGGGACATAAGAATATTAGTATAGTTCAGGGCCGGTGGCATTTGGTAGCACTAATTGGGAATTTTATAAAGCATGTTTTGTCGAGTAATTTTAGTTGCGGCCACCATTGTTTGGCGGGCTATAGCTAGTAATATGATAATAATGCCAAACATTCACTTTTCTTTAAAAAGTAAAGTGGTGATGTCAATGACAGCCATTCATGACACTAAAAACATAATAAAAGTAAGGCCACAATTTTTAGGTAACAAAATTCAATTTTCATAAGTGTCTTTAAGGATAATCTGTGGCGAAATATTACAGGGAATATTAGGGAACAGTTTTAAGGAAAACTTGAAATATTAATCAAAATAATAACACTGAGGTTTCTGCTGAAAGCTTTCTTCCACAAACAAAACTAGACAGAAAAAAAGAAAGTGAAATAAGTATATTTTAATCCAATATGGCTGGCAGATTACAAGATGAGTTTAAGATGTATAAACTCTCTGTGTTGTGTGTTAGTTAATGAATTCTTTTATTGTTTCATGGCAACAGTCATTCTTTTATATCAGAAATAAAATAAAACTCTGCCTAAAGTAGCAACATTGTATTTTCCCGAGGTAAGAGGTTGTGTGTGTTTTGCTGTCACTGGGTTGTTCACATTAGAGTAACTTAAATAAGCCTGTTGCCTAAAACATTTAATCTGTCTAAAATTACATTTCTGCATTTGATGATGGGTTTATATTTTATATTTGATCCAGCAACATACATTTTACATTGGGCAAGAGAAAGAATTATAACCAAGATACTATTTTTACTCGGTTAAAAAAACAAAAAAACATGAATAATTTTGATGGTTAAGACCAAGACAACATGGTGACTATTTTCAATTTGTTATCCAGATTTTTTCCACACACCTGGCCACAATTAGTCGAGATAATCAAATTTCTTTTGTAATGCCAAGTAATGTAACTGGTAATTTAACACATTTAGTTGTTAGTTAATCATAAATAGGAGTCTCATATAGTTTGTTAATGACAGTGGGAATGCAGAAAATGAGATCAGAGTTGTTTCCCCATGATCATCAATTAAATTATCTCATCCTGTATACAATTACAGGAACATTTTTAAAACTTCATGCACTTACACCTAATAGATGCTTTAAAGATGGTATGTACATGTGAAAGAAATGGCTTGTCATGATGAGACTCAAAATATATGCATTAATATGAATAACACTTAAATATTTTATTTTTCAAAGAAGACTTTAAGAAAAGCAATTGCCTAGTCAATTTTCATAAAAAGCAAAAGCAATATGAAAAAATTTGAGTATAAAGATGTTTTGTTTGAAATTAAGCCAACTGTGAAGCAACTAAATAAGCTTGTTTGTTTAATGAAGAAAATTACCTTCCTTTCAATTAGAAAGAAACTTAATGCACAGGTCACAAAACTTTCATAACTAGTTAACACTTTAAAACTTGCTAAGATTTGGCTTGTACTTTACTTTGCCTCATGAACAATGGTTTTTAAAATAAAATAGCGCACGAAACTCATTCAAAACCAATTTGCTCATTTTTAAGCAGTCTGCATTTTCTCTCAACTGAACCACTCCACATGTTTGGACCAGTGTTACAGGAATAGAATCAAACTTACATTTTCATGATGAAACTGTGTGGGGGAAAAAAAGGATAAGAAAGAAAAAATTATAAACACTTGAAGAGTTCAGATATTTTAAGAATCATCCACTCCAAGACTATTGCTCTTAATTTTAAATTCCTTAAACATTTTTCATTATGTTAACTTAAAAGAGTTCTGGCCTTTTGACTATTAGAATTCAGATGCCATACATTTTCTAAATTTTATTTATCAAATTCACTTTTAGGAAAAATATTTTCAAAATAATTAAATGAGCATTAAAAATTAAATTTGAAAATTTAAAATAAAATAATGAAAAACACATAACAATAAAATTACAAGGGAGGATTCACAATATGAACATTGCATTCAATAAAAAAAATTACAAATCCCTAAAATACATGTGTATTCAAACTATGTAATCTGAACTCTTCAACAAAAAATAAAAAACGTACAAAAAAAAACTTAAGGAAGACATAATGTTTTTCTTTTTTTTTTATAAATTTTTTTTGTGGGCTTTTAAAAGCATGCTCATGCTATAAGTGTTGTATCCTTTAAAAAAAATTTTTTATACTTATGATTAAAATAATTTTTTTTTTTACACTAAGGGAACTTTGTAATTTGCACATATAGGGTCATACATTCAATGCCTAATTACTAAAATAGATGCATGAACACACAAAAGCTAGACGATAAGTAATTTAAAAAAAATAAAGTTTTAACAAAAGCTAAGGTTGAACAAACTGTTTGAATAAATTATGAAATGAAACCCAGAAACATCTCAATGAGCTGAATGACAAATCTATAGCTTCAACAACTAAAGACTTTTAAGCTTGTATTGAAATCTTTGATTTTTGGTTCTTTGAACCGCCACCAACCAAGCAAATTCAGGCCTTCATGATAATTACAGCAGTGAAAACCAAAGATGCAGGACTTGAGATTTTAAAATACAAGATTTTTTAACAAAAAACACCCAAATAAATCTTCATTTTAAAGTTCAGTTTTTTTAAAAAATACAATCAGGATGAAAGAAACATGACCAACCTCTTACAAAACAAAACATGAAGAAAAATAAAAAGTTACTTACATTCTCATGTTTAAACCGTGTGAGAATCTTAATCTCCCTCAGTGTTCTTTGGCAGTATGTCTGATGTTCAAACGGTGAGATCTTTTTGATAGCAACTTTCTGTTTTGTTACATTATCCATGGCCGACCTTTAGAAAGACATAACATATTTAATACTGTGATTCGTAAATTTTCTTTTTCAAGATATAATGCTGGTTATAGAAGATCTTTGATCTATTAAAACAAATTTCACATTAAAATGTGTGATTAGTTCTCAGCAACAACATAGGAAATTTAGGTGAATTTTCAAAGTATACTTGAGCAGGAGAATCAGATGCCAAGTGATCTTCTTGGAATCTAGTTTATTTAGGGATAGGGATGTCTACAAAACAAATATCCTGCTTGAGCAACACCACTACTCAACTCTCAATCTTAACAGTTTTTGTCGTAAAATTAAATTGTAACTGATTGTTCGTTATAAAGCACTGTTTGCGCAATAAATTATAACATCTTATATTCTGTGACAAGTTGTTTTATTGTGTGTTTAAGTTAGCTGATGCCAGCCCCTCCCCCAACATTGCTTCTTTCACAGTTTCTATTTATAGACCGGCCAAGAAGAAATTTTCTAGACCAGTGCTGTCCAACCTGTGAGCTGATTTTAAATGCCCCTGCCAAGCTTTAGAAATTTGTATGTGTTGAAAAAATAAAACATCCAAGTGATTATTCACAGAACTGTGCGGATAACATTCGGCGTTATTCGAAGATTTCGATCTGCCGATAACGCTCAACATTATTTGCAGAACTGTGCGGATAATTCTCGCTGTTATTAGAAGATTTCGGTCTGCCCATAACGCTAAGCATTATTCGCAGAGCAGTAATAAATTAAATTATAAATATAAAATATATAGTTCACCTTGTAGACAGCTCCTCGGTGATATAGTGGTAAGTATTCCCGCCTGTCACTCAGGAGACCGGGATTCGGTTCCCCGGGAGAGCTACTTTTTTTCAATTAAATAATTTTAAATAATTTTTTTTTAAAATACTTAAAGGTTATTTCGTTTTATTATATTTTTTCATATAGCTTTATTATACTTTTCGTATTGTTCTATTATACTCTTCATATTGTTGCTGTGTTGCTCCGGGTTGAAATGGCTAGAAAGACTTTGATATTGTATGCTTGTAATTAGTTTTTGTAGTGTTGTGTTTGTTTTAAATGTGGTGAATTATAGATATGTTTTTTGTTGACTTTGTACCGCGCTTCGAGCCTTTGGGGATGAAGCGTGTTTTTTTAAATGAACTTTATTATTATTATTATTATATAGCTTTATTATTCATTTTATTATACTTTTCATTCTGTCCAACAACGTAGGTATTCAAAATTCTAGTTTCAATCTATTTTGTTAGAATGTTCATTCAAGTTTTGTCAAAAAACTGTAAACAACATGTACATACAGATGAGCTGCATAAACCATGTTTAAGCCAGATCTCGCTTAGTTTCATAACTACTTGGTCTTTATTTTATTTGACAAGCTGAGCCAGAGGCAGACACACAGTTAAGAATGGGATATGCGTTGAAGCAACTGGAAAGGAAAGCGCACGAACGAGATGAAGGGAAAATTCTTGTAAAACGGGGTAAAAGACATAAGTAAGTGAGTGAGTGGGTGGGTGAGTGAGTGAGTGATTGAGCGAGTGACATGCGGCCCTCGAAAAGTTGAGTCGCTTTTAACAGTACAAGGTGAACCCATTCAGTCGAAGATTTCGGTCTGCTGATAACGCCCAACATTATTTGCAGAGCTGTGTGGATAACGTTTCCCGTGAAACATTTTGGAGTGAAAATTTCAAACAGCATTCATTGGTTTAGTATTTTTGGAAAATTGCATGAGAGGAACATGGCTATGGGGGAGGTCACAAAAGCTAGCGAGTGGGATGGCTCAACATGCAGCATTAATTTATGTTAAGCAAAAAAGCAGAGCAACCGTTTGGGAACATGTCTGAAATAAAGTCTTCTCCTTCTTTCTGTTGCTGGTACAGGAGAGTCGTTGCGGGTTATTAGGTATAATTACTAATGTCATTGAGAAAAATGAATAAGGAAACCAAAAGTAACTTAATGTGTAGCTATTAGGTTATTGAAAAAATGTCCAAGCCTACAGCAAAAGGTCCGATTTAAATGAAATAGGTGAGCATGGCCAGTTTATCACTGCATGGCCAGTTTATCACTGCACCTTGTGAGATGATATGGATATATGCCACTTTATGCATAAGGTAAAAGTATTGATAATGTGAATAATTTTCTAAAAAGTAAAAAAAAAAAAATTTCTTTTGAGATGTCATGTACGACCATTTGTCTTGGATGAAAAAAATGTTTGGCCAGAGTAGTCAAAGACCTTTCAACATTCGGACAAAAAAAATTGCTGTTTATTTTCAGAATGTCAATGGCCCAAAACCTTATTTATAATACATGGTTCAGATATTTAAGTTTTTTAAATTATTTAATTGCATAATTAGTTTGGAAAAGTACAATTTGTAGCCTGTATTTAATTCATGTATATTTAATGCAAAGAAGGATCATCTCTTGTGTATTAAGAATACCAAATTCTAAATTAATAAATAGTTTTTCCCATTTTCCTTTTATTTCCTGGAATTTTTCCAAAATCAAGTATCCATGAGCTGAGCTGAAGGTTTCCAAAAATAGTAAATTTTGGTATCTTTAAATGGTCTTTTCATTTTCACGATGCTGAATTTTCAATAAATAGATTAGCATTAAGAAGATTCATTTAAATTGTAATTTTATTTTGTTATGGGGAAACAAAATGGGGCAAAATGCAGTTAGCGGCAGGGCGACGATGTCTTTCACAGTATGTAGGTCATGGGGTTCTCCAGGTCAACTACCGGCCACATTTTCAAAAGATTTCAAAGCTTAGCTCTGTATTACTTTGAAAAGTTTATTTTTCTCATTATTGTCTTAAAAGAGGGGGGATGAATCTACCCTTCCCAGAAAATTATGTAGAAATGGGACATACCGTAACAGAAATGAATAGCATACAGGTACTTTTTTTCACAAATCAAAAGACAGCACTTTAAACCATGTGTACGTCTACTTTCTAGTGTTCATCTTGTGGTATCAGAAAGGATCAATTTCTCTTTTCTTTTGAGCCTTGCAAGTTGAATTTTAATAAAAATGGATGGAAAATTTCATTTTAATTTTTATCATATTAACTGCTTAGATCATCAGATTATGTTTATGGAGCTAATAATGCTCAGCAAAGAACAGGAAATTTATCACACTCATTGTTCAGCTCCAACTGTAAGTCTTGTCACCCTAAGTCCTGTGTTGGGATTCCCCAAAGTAACGTCACTGGTGAGCCCCCAACTGCATATTTACCCAAACAATGAAAGAAGAATAGTGGGTTTTTTATAAAGTGGTCCCTTTTATTTTGCTTGGATTACTAAGTTTAATAAGTGAAAATATTATGTTGAACACATGCAAAAAACACGTTACCCTTATACTTATATTTTTTTGGGTCACTCCATCAAACAAACAATGGGATCAAATAAAATCCCAAGCCATTTAACAAAAATTAAAAGCACATTACTCAGCTGGGGATAAAGAATACCGCAAAGGGACATCATCACCATGTCTAAGTCTAGGATTAGGAGGACTTTAATTCCATCCAGACTATTGACTATTCTGGTACACTTGTCCAAATACACCCCCCCCCCCCCCCACCCCCCTTTAAAAAAAAATATATTTTTTTTTTTTGTCTAAGTCTAGGATTAGGAGGACTTTAATTCCATCCAGACTATTGACTATTCTGGTACACTTGTCCAAATACACCCCCCCCCCCAAACCAACCTTTAAAAAAATCTAATTTTTTTTGTTTTATAATTGAATTTCCTTTCTTTAAACAAACCATCAATAATAATATGCACTATGACTATATTTTATTATGAATTTATTAAATTATCAGTCTGTTATTCTGAGTTATCTGGACTATACTGGACACCGGGAGACAGTCCAGTGACTGTACTGTACATCTGTATTAATACATTGTATCATTTCGTAAATAAAGGGCTGAAGAAGGGAGCAGTTGAAGGGTTTTTCAGTCGGCCTAACGTTAAAAATAAAATAAATGGACTTCAGTGAATCAATTAATTTATGGCTGTGAGGTATATGGTTAAAATTCCAGAAAAAGAAACACAGCAACCAGGGGACGTCACCCGGTTGACGCGGTCGGTCAATGAACGCGGAAGGATGTATGGCGTCCGAATTATAAGAAACAGAAACAGCCTACTCACACGACCATTCCATACGCTCCTTCTCCAATGTATGTGAGGTTCGTATAGCGGGGTCCCACTTCAAAAGTCTGCCCCCGGACCAATTCTCCTGAAGTTTTGCTTCCAGTCTTAGATTGAGCTCCCTGCGCCGCCATCTTGGAAAGTGACGCACTGCTGTTAGTGAATCTATCGATAGGTTACGATCACGTGACAGGCCTGTTGACGTCATAACACTCGCCATTACCTCGATCGACTGTGACAATCCGCCATTTTAACATATTTTTAGTTCTTTCTTATTCTTTTTCTTTCGTTCATTCTCCCCCCCCCCCCCCCCCCCCCCCCNCCCCCCCCCCCCCCGATATTTCTTCTTTTTTTTTTATAAACGTCGCGACTGCTCCACGCTCGGAGACAACACGCAATTCCAGGTAGAATTTGGCTCGATACGGTTTAGAAATTGATTTTTGTTTTCGCAATTTTTCCAACAGAATAAGAAAAGAAATATGCGTGCAGTTTAAAAAAAAAAAAAGCAAGACTGCAAAAAATAGAGAGCGAGGGTACGCCGGTACAAATGTGTACCGTACCGGTAAAAGAAAATTCGACAAGTCGATGTGTGCTAATATCAGCGACGGAACATAAGGGGGAGGGGCAGGGGGTAGTCAGGTTATGTCATGTTGACATGACGTTTTGTATATCCTGTTATTTAGTCCAGATGTTCAGGAGAATAAAGGTGGGTTCAGTGGGATAGATAACGGGATGCTGGTTAATATTTCATTATTATTTTTGGTCCACCCAGTCGGTTGAGGGGTGGGGTGGGGTGGGGGGTTAAAAAATTAAAATGCACTTTAATTTAAGCTGAATTAATTTGTATTTGTTTATAATTTAGATAATGTTAATATCACAATAAATAATAGTTTCTCTTTCTAACTCTCTGTCTCTCCACGCTCGTTCTCTAGTTCTTCTCTATTTTTATGTCTCCCCTCCTCTCATTTCTTATCATATCAACCTTCCTCTTTTTCTCTCCCTTTTACTTTTATTCCCTCTTCCTTCCTCTTTCTTGCCTTCTCTTACGCTTCCTTCTCCTTTCCCACCTTCTCTCACCATGCCTTCCCCTTTCTCGCCTTCTCTCCCTCCCTCCCTCCCTCCCGTCCTTTCTCTTTTTCTCCTATTCGCTCTTTCCTTTCCTTCTTTTTTTTCTATCTCCATTCCTCTTTCTCTCTATTTCATTTTTTCGCATTCTCTCCATCTTTCCTTTCTCTCTTTAGCTTCTCCCTCTCATTTTCGCCTTTCTGTCTTCCATGCTTTCTTTTTATCTCTTCCTCCGTCTTTTCATTCTTTCGTTCGCTCTTTCACTCCATTTTTTGCTCTTTCTTTCTCTCTGTCCACTCTCTAAAAGTTAACCCCCAGCATGCGACGGAAGCTGTGAGACGGAGATAACCGTAGCACAGTTTGCACACTTGGTGCGCAGGCTTACGCACTAATATGTAGAAGTGTGCACCAAGTTGAAGATAACAGATCTACTAACTAAAGTAACCTAGTTAAAATGAGTCTTCTAGAGCTAGACCTAGCGTGTTACTTTTTAATAATTTTTGTTCAATGCGTGCTCTTTTTTCTTTTTTTTCCTTCTTTCAAATAGAGTAATTTGCGCAAATTGCGCCCATGACAATGAAACAAAGACATAGGGGCGGTAGCATAATTTATTTAATTGGACAATCTTTTCAAAGTCAGGTAGCGTCGTTTGGCAATTATTATGTTACTGTGCGAAGTGAACAAAAAATGAGGGTGTTGGGGGGGGGGGGGGGAGGGTTGATTTTTTTCGTATTTGCTTTCTTTGAATTTGTATGAAGCTGGGTTGGGGGGGGGGGACACTAATAAGAATGTCATAAATTAACCTTCCATAAGCCAGCGCTACAAATGATGGGATTTTAGCGTTATGTGACACAGATTTATATGATTATAAAAGATATAGTCATGCACCACGGATTATTTTAATTATTTTAGCCCTACACTTAGATAATGTTGTTTTTGTTTGTTTAAGTTTCCGTAATTATGAGCGTATTGGTCCGTAAATATTTTGAAGATTCGTCGGTAAATTTTATTTCATTGATTCGGTGACCCTGCGTTCGGATTTATCATTCATTGATGCGTGGTGTTGTGGTTGGGTTGTCTCGCTCAACCATCATTCATTGATGCGTGGTGTTGTGGTTGGGTTGTCTCACTCAACCATCATTCATTGATGCGTGGTGTTGTGGTTGGGTTGTCTCACTCAATCATCATTCATTGATGCGTGGTGTTGTGGTTGGGTTGTCTCACTCAATCATCAGCCGGCGCACGGGGACTTTGAGACGGACATCGTATGAAGTGTCGTGAGGTGGGGGGAAAAGGGCTCAAAACCGATGATCTAGTATAGTATCTCATTATGCCGCCATTTAATTATTATTATTTTTTTTGTTGACATATCAAAACACTAACACGACCAACAGAAACACGACCAACAGAAACACGACCAACAGAAACACGACCAACAGAAACACGACCAACAGAAACACGACCAACAGAAACACGACCAACAGAAACACGACCAACAGAAACACGACCAACAGAAACACGACCAACAGAAACACGACCAACAGAAACACGACCAACAGAAACACGACCAACAGAAACACGACCAACAGAAACACGACCAACAGAAATCAGAGGAAAGGCTGTGAATAAAGTAAACGTAACTGACTCAACAACTCCGTCTGTTTCTTTTTATTCTTTTTGTTATTTTTTAAAAAAAAAAGTGTTTGCTTATTTTTGTTTTGTTTTTTTAAATTTCAATATATTTTTTTATTTTATTTTATTTATAACAAATTTAGTTGCGGAGATGATAAAAAATGTAGGCTCTATTTGAGTTTTAATATGCGGTAGAATCAAAGAAAGGAATTAAATTCTTAAAATTTGCTATTCACATATTGCTACAATAGTCAAGAGATTGTGACACTCCATTTTTTAATTTCAGTTTTCTACCACATTATCGAATATTGGGAGAATGGTGAAAGTGCAGTGATCCAATTGGGAGAATGGCGAAAGTGCAGTGATCCAATTGGGAGAATGGCGAAAGTGCAGTGATCCAATTCGGAAAATGACGAAAGTGCAGTGATCCAATTGGGAGAATGGCGAAAGTGCAGTGATCCAATTGGGAGAATGGCGAAAGTGCAGTGATCCAATTGGGAGAATGGCGAAAGTGCAGTGATCCAATTGGGAGAAATGCTAAAGTGCATTGCAGTGATCCAATTTGGAGAATGGTGAAAGTGAAGTGATCCAATTGGGAGAAATGCTAAAGTGCAGTGATCCAATTGGGAGAATGATGAAGTGATCCAATTGGGAGAATGGTGAAAGTGCAATGATCAAATTAGAAGAAACTGAAGCCTTTTTCTTGAGAACCTTTAATGTTTTTATTTGTTATTTCTAAAGGTTGAGCAGATTGTAACAGTTGTACGTTAGTCAATTTGTAATCGCTCTTTTTTGTGTGTGTGGAATACTTGATGCGGCCCAGGCTTAATCAAACTCTACCTCCTGCGGCCCCCGAATGATTTGAGTTTGAGACCCCTGATGTAGATGGTCGGAGAGGAGGGGGAGATTTCTGATAAAACGGCGTCGGTGGTGTGACATCATGAGGTTTACACCAACAAGTGGTCAAAAGCCATAGTGACGCCTCTGCTCTCATCTCCAAGCTCCTACTCTTGCATTAGAAGGGTAACTTTCGTGGCAAAAAGCTAGAGTCTCTGCCATGACGTCTGTGGCACCAGTCATTACGGCGTGTGAGGGTATGTGTCATGACAGCAGTTTGACAGCGTGTCTGTGCGTGTCATGACAGCAGTTAGTCAGTGTATGTACGTATGGGTCATGTCATCTATTAAAATGTGTGTGTGTGTGTGAAAGTGTTATGTCGTAAATGACAATGTGTGTGTTAATCAAGACGTATATTATGACAGTATATGTCTGTGTATGTATGTGTTATGACGACTATGACAGTGTGTGCTTGAGACATGATGAATATGACAGTGCGTGTGTGTGTTGGTCATGGCGTCGATAACAGAGTGTAAGCATGTGAAATGACGTCTGTCTATGACAGTGTGTTCAAGGTTCATGACATTTAAGACAGTGTGTGCATGGGTCATGACGTTTATGACAGTTTGTGCATGGGTGTCGACGTCCATGACAGTGTGTGCATGGGTCATGACATCTATGACAGTGTGCGCATGGGTCATCACGTCTATGACAGTATGTACATGGGTGTCGACGTCCATGACAGTGTGCGCATGGGTCATGACGTCTATGACAGTGTGCGCATGGGTCATGACATAGGGTGCGCATGGGTCATGACATCTATAACAGTGTACGCAGGGGTCATGACGTCTATGACCGTGTGTGGATGGGTCATGACGTCTATGATCGGGTGTGCATGAGTCATGACGTCTATACATGGGTCATGACAGCTATGACAGTGTGCGCATGGGTCATCACATCTATGACAGTATGTACATGGTTGTGGACGTCCATGACAGTGTGCGCATGGGTCATGACGTCTATGACAGTGTGCGCATGGGTCATGACATAGGGTGCGCATGGGTCATGACATCTATGACAGTGTACGCATGGGTCATGAAGTCTATGACAGTGTGTGCATGGGTCATGACGTCTATGATAGTGTGTGCATGGGTCATGACGTCTATGACAGTATGTGCATGGGTGTCGACGTCCATTACAGTGTGAGCATGGGTCATGACGTCTATGACAGTGTACGCATGGGTCAAGACGTCTATGACAGTGTGCGCATGGGTCATAACATCTATGACAGTGTTCGCATGGGTCATGACATCTATGACAGTGTGCGCATGGGTCATGACGTCTATGACAGTGTGCGCATGGGTCATGACATCTATGACAGTGTGCGAATGGGTCATGACATCTATGACAGTGTGCGCATGGGTCATGACGTCTATGACAGTGTGCGCATGGGTCATGACATCTATGACAGTGTGCGCATGGGTCATGACGTCTATGACAGTGTACGCATGGGTCATGACATCTATGACAGAGTGCGCATGGGTCATGACATCTATGACAGTGTGTTCATGGGTCATGACGTCTATGACAGTGTGTGCATGGGTCATGACGTCT